ACATGAGTCTCACGAGTCTTTCTCTTTTTAGGGGTCCCTCTCGAGGGCCATGAAGGTTTGGGGCTTCGGGCTACCCACGTGGATCTTTTCGAAACTTGATGTCTCATTTTTACACCCAAAGGGTCCATGTACCCAATAATTAGGTACTTGGGTTATGGGTAATAGTAAGTATAGTATTGGTTTTGGGGAAGTCTATGATTATTGGGTACAGGAAAAAGGGCCCATACTGTCGAATATGACCCATACCACGTGATTTGTCGACATCATCTTGTAATGCTTCTTTTGCATTGGGACCGGACTTTCGAGTAGCTACTAGCTAAGTCCCTGATGCATCAGTAGGATCTATGTTCACTCGCTCGATTACTTCTTCAAGATTGCGCATCCAGATGGTTAGTGCGATGCAAATACCTAAACCTGAAACTACACTGCTTCAGGCTGCAACAGGTTCAACTCAAGACTACCAAGTCTTAACGAGAGCCTTGCATGGTAAAGCACCCTGAAATTGAGGCAAGCCCTGACAGCTTCTAGTAACATTAGAAATAGGTATGATAAAAATATGAACCATAATAATAGTAGTAGTACTAGTACTAGCACTAGTACTAGTTCCAGTAATAGTAAGCAATAATGAAAGAATATTGTTCATACTAGTAGCTAGTAGTAGTAGTAGTAGTTGTTGTTGTTGTTGTAGTACCAATAATAACAGTAATCATAGTAATAGAGGTAACAATAATAACAGTAGCTGCGGCCTTTCTGTGGTTCTGCTTTGCATACTCCAGGTAAGCCTCGAGATCAGAAGTAACGTGAGGGCCGAGAGAACTAGAGTAGAACCTGAGGGCATCTTGTTCACCAAAGTCTCCGCCTTTTGGTGGTCAAGCCCCAATGTCTTCATATCACGACAAACAAAGCATCTGAGACATATGAGGGCACTCCATTCTCAATCATGCAAGCTTTGACGTGCGTGTTTTTGCTGCGAAGGTGTTCTGATTGGCCGCGGCTTGCAAGCTTTCGGGGTCCTGATAATCGTAATACTAATACAACTTACAGTACCCGGAATCGAGTAATGGTAGCGGTAGCAATGATCGCAATGTATCTAGCAGACCTTCGTCATAGCCGCCTCCTAAGCCCCTTTTCAAGATGGCCCTCCTCGGGGCGACTTTCAACAATGTACTTGAGATCTTGCTTTGGCCTTCAAAACACCTTGAAAACAGCAGTATATATATAGGACCCTTTTGAAAATTAAATCCAACCATAGGGGTGCCCGCTTCAAGACCTTAAAGACCAAGCCACCTACGGCTCTGAAGGGTTCTCCGTTTGAAGGTACTCCTATGGGTTATATTGGGGCTATGTAGGGGTTATATAGGGGTTATGTAGGGGCTATATAATGGTTATATAGGGGTTATATAGGGTCTATATAAGGGATATACGAGGGGATATATTGGGGCTATATAGGGGTTATATTGGGGTTATATACTATTCTTCCAGTCAAAAGGGGCATTGCCTTCACGATTCGCGCTTTATGCTTCCATGGTAGATACCATCACCAACAAAGCCGCCACAACAGCCATAGCCGGCACCAGCAGCAGCAGTATTGCCACTGCTACGGTGAGAATCCCTTAAGGAGATAGAATATGGGGTAAATTATGGGGATCTTATTATGATTCGAAATCCTAAACCCTATCTACATTCCCTTGATTCGCCAGAGTTCAGCCAGGGTGCTTTGAGGCAGGTCACTTTTGCGTTGTCATGATTATGCAGCAGCTGTCGCGCTGCATGCTCTTCGGACTCCTGTTACCATGAAGGCTTTGAGGTTTAGGGTTTAGGGATCCAAAAAGCACAGTTTCGGTAATATTCGCAAATTTTTGGGCCCAATGTAGGGATTGTTTGTATACTTGGATCCCTAGGGAACGCGTTAGGGTACGGGGTTGGGGCGATATGATTTTGTTGAACATGCTGGTCTTGTGACAGCTCTAGAATCTGGGGTTGGGGGCTCTTTCGAAGCTGTGGCCCTAACGACATGATACGTTCAAAGGGTGTTGGCTACAGCAAATGTTTTCCCGTCAAAAGAAACCCTGTGGCAAAGAACTAAATGGCATGGAAAGGATAAGAATGCTGCCATCATCAACCACCGGAAATGGTTGGCAACCCGTTTGAGATTTGGTAGCTTACCAAAATAGGGAGATCGCAGTATAGACCCCTAAATTTTATAATCCTTACTTTAGGGGTCCACAGAAAAGGTATCTCCCATTTGGGGATTTCTGGAAGGCTTGGCGTAACATGAAACTAGTACTATGAGAGGTTTAGGGCTTAGGGTACAGTACTGTGAGAGATGCTCATAACAATCCTAGCGAATGCAACGACAATATGAGCCAGAGCGGTTCCAATGATTTCATTGAATACTGTATTCCTTCCTTCGGAATGGGCCCCAAACGCGCATTACAATTTGGAAAACTCCCTCCGCAAAGACGGACTCTCAAACCCTGATTTGTAAGAACCGCATGTTTTGCTATCTCATCTCCAACTGGATGCTTCGAGACTGTCTGAGAGTGCCGAAGTACGTGCACCATGCACTCTGCATGCCCAACCTTAGTCTCTAAACCCTTGCCCCCAACTCCTTAACCCCACAGTCCTTCCAGAAAAGCGGCACTTGCTGTAGCTCACTCTCTAGGATCTCCTTGGCAACCCAAAGCATTTGAGCTGCGTCCAAAATCACTGCTGATTTTACTATGATGGTACCCAAAAGGAACGCCAAAAAAAAAACGCACCTCTTTTTGCTTCCAAGTGTGGGGTTCGGGGTCTAGGCCACTTCTGGGGAGTTAGAGAAGATACAAGCACGTGGGCTCATGTCAAAGTGCTTGCCCGCCCACTGTCCGCCCCATCGCCACAGAAAGGGTGCGAAGTGACGCAACGCTCCTTTAAGAGGAACCCTATAAATCTCAAAAATAACCCCCAATTCAGGAGTTTAGACTGTAGCTCATATTACAGCTACATATATATATATATATATATGCCGCTATAACCCGTGTGCTGACAAGAAACCATGGCGTTCTTGCAGTCCTTCTTGGCAGATTTCATGCTGCGGCAGAGGATGTGAATACCTCAGCGGCTTTGATCCTCAACGCCAAACATAGAAGGACTTTAATGGGAACACCAGACATGAAACCCCAAGAATTTCGTAGGAATATACGGACTCTGGTAACCCTGGTAGGTACATTCCCATTTTATTCCCGCTATATTCTACGGGTTTTCTGTTTGGGGTCCTCGATCCCCATTGAAATCCTTTTCATACACTCCCCCTAAGCCAGCGTAGAACTCTGTCTAAGCCCTCTGTCGAAGGACAGAAGTCCTTACACGATTCCTTTTCAGGTTCCATGGGTTTAGGGTTTAGGCTTTAGGGTTCAGGGTTTGGGTCTAGGGCTAGCAAAAAGTGGCCTGGAGCCTGAAGACTGCTGTCGACAACACGGGGGCTTCAAGAAAAAGTGAAGGATGCCCTTTATCATACTGGGTGTACAACCCTGCTTCGAGGGTGGAGGGACGTAGGAAGTTTACTTGTAGTCCCTGAGAATCCACAGAATAGTAAACTCTGTGCCATTCTTAGCCTCCCCCCCTGAACTCGCAACTGGTTCTTCTGTTGCTCTCACCCACCCATCGCCTGACCATTGTCACCAGTTCTTCCATTATGCCAAGAGAATTCCTATCCCCCAACTTACGAAGCCCCAAACCCTACAGACCGCTTGCTCAGGAACCTAGTAGCTACTTAAAACCAGACTTGTAGCCTACGTGTAATTGGAGCAACCCCTGCACATAAGGCCATTTTTGGGATTATATGTGGGGTTACAAGCCCCGTAGAAGTAATTTAGTAAGTTCCAGGCAGCCTTAACCCTGTGCCCTATATACCTCTATATATCCTTCCGGGAGTGAATACAGGTACTATTCCGAATGTACTGTTGATGGAGGAATCTGGCACTACCTAGGGTCCCTACCCTACACTACTGTAATTCCGGGGTTCTTCGGGGCTTAAGGTATTACAAGGTTTCCTCCATCAACAATATGCATGGAGATTAGGAGGATAGGGGGATCGGGAAAGTTAGTATATGTTTCGGGTGGTACTGTGAAGGCCTCGAAAAATGTCCAAGAAAAGTTTGTCTTATACCACACTAGGGGAGGTTCTTTAAACTATTCGGAGGCCCGCCTAGCGTAAAAACTTTCGGAGATATCTGAGGTATATATAGGGATAGCTATAGGCATCCACCCACTCCCGGAATCTCCCTTTCAAGGTTTAGGATTTAACCAAACCCTGAGCTACTAAATTTTTAGCCCATACGTAATTCTCGCATATTTGCTCCGAAAGTTTGAGGCCCGTAAACTCCTAGTCGTCCACTGCACCGCCTTTACATCAGGGAAAATAGTATCCCCATCAAAAGTGCACCTCATGCGGTGAATGCTCCCGGATTAGAGGAGGTAGTGCAAAATATCCTAAACCCTTTTGAACGAAGGCTTTCTGACATGCCTCCAGCCGGCAGCCTCCACAACTCGCACTCGTCTCAAGTTGCGAAGGTCTCAACCGCGCAGAACACGCGAGAAATCTTAGATCGCCGGGTACCCAGACCCTGCCAACCAGCAAGCCTCCGTACCAACCCTTGCCAGTCCTCTGGCAGAGCACAGAAGGCAAGCACCACCTGATGATGAGCTCATGAACCGTATATATGAGCTATAATCTAAACTCTGAATATCCCCCTTAATGTAACACCCCCTATAATACTCCCCCTAAAATCCACGATATAACCTTATATAACCCCCTCTCAGGAGGTTAGACTATAGCTCGTATGACATTGAGAAAAAGGATTTTCAAGTGAGTAATTACCAGGCGGGTACCTTTACATAAGGCTTCTACAGCTTTTACAACGCTTATATGGGGACGCGAGGACTATACAAGGGCATGTATACGGCTTACCTGGGGGAAACTACCCACCTTAAATTTCCTCAAAATGAAGGCCAGGTGCGAATCTTGTATGTCATGCAGGAGAACTTGAACTCGATTGGGGATATCGCGTCCGGCGCCCTGCCATGCCGCTGAAGGAACGCCTTGCAGGTGTAGGGTTCAAGATTTCAAACACGTGATCCCATGGGTTATGCATTTTCGGGAACATATGCAGTTTCCAGTATGTTTTCTTTAGTTTTATAAGGCTATATTTATGGGACCCTTGGTTTTGGAAACCCCGACTCTGTGACCACATGTTTTCATGGCTTCCAGGGATCATATAGGAATTGAAGGCAATAAACAAAAAATATTTTCGAGCCTACAGCTGAACTGTAGATGTAGGGGCAGCGCGCTAGATCCGCTAGATCTCACAGCAGACATCCACGCGTTAGACTCTGTGATCCTGGTTTTCTACCAATCTTTAGAAAAACACGCATAGAAAGAATCCCTAAAAAACTCAAGATTACCTAACAGTCCCCAATCAATCTTTGCATTTGGAAAGCCTTCATGTGTGGGGGCCTGTGTACTGACCCACTAGACCACACTAAACCCTAATCTACTAGTCCCTTATCCCAAATCCCTATAAACCCTAACTCCTAAACCCTAATCCTTATACCTAAACCCAGACTCCTAAACCCTGAACCCAGCTCACTGATGGCGGTTCGGCCGAAGCCAAGTGGCTCCGAAGACGAGGCTCGGGAGCGGCCCTTCGGGCTTCTCCGGCTGCCTAGGAAGCTCCAGGTACTTAGGGTGTAGGGTTTAAGCAAAAAAGATAAGGCATATGTCTACGGAAAATTGTGCCTGTTTTGCAAGGCTCATGGGACGTAGTTACTTGGAACGAGGTCATAACCCTGCTCATGCATGGGAGAAACTTGTGCAATCCAAGTAAGGAGATGACCAACTGGGGATATAAGCCCAATTTTCAGTAATTGCTTACCAAGTCCCACGACCCAAACCCTAAACCTATGAAACTTCAAGCATGCTTGTTTTCATGGTCAGTCTGTTAAACTCCTGTAAAGCGACTCCGAGGTTGTCAAGGTACGCGGAAAATCCCGTTTTTGAGGGCCATAGCCGTGTGCCACGCAGTTAGGGTTTAGGGTTGGAGCCTACGATCCATGCACTTGGACCCTCATTCCTGCAAGCATGGCAGCTTCTCAAAGATGAATCCGCCTAAGCGACCCCTACAATCCCTTCATCCTGATCGGCTTCTATTCTGGGAGCCCCTTGAAAAGGACCTAATGCCCCCTTGTCGTTGAGAAAGCCACATGCCATCCATGCATCGAGTTTCTCCGTGGTAGCAGAAGCAGCTGCAGCAGCCACCGCTTCGACGGGCTGCTCCTCCTCAGAGCGAACGATATAGGCGCAAGCCACCACTCACGAAAGGTGACCACAAGGAGTCACAGTAATTATACGGTCAGTCTACATATAGGGGCTCCGGGAGGGATATACAGGGGGGTTCCATTTTCTTGTCCATTATCCGTATATTCCTATGATACCACGATTCCTGGGTGGTGGCCTGCCCTACGGTTTGGGGCTTCAGAGGTTGAGGTTATAACGCGTCAAGGTTTCAGGTTTGGAGTTCGGGGCCTAGGGTTGTGCAGGATGCCTACAAACGACCCCTACTCAAGGCTCAGGTTGACTTAGAAAGTTTACAGATACCCCCTACAAGCCCCTCATATCCCCAGTACTCCCGGTTAGCTAGTATTATACTTGGCCGTAAACTACCTCTTGCAGGGCTTTTGGGATCCTATACGTAGAGCCGCCGAATATTTTACAGGTTGGTTGATTCTAGGAGGAAAATATAAAGGCCTCTAGGACCTAGGAATCACATGTCAGGCGGTTGATGCTCAGACTGCAACTGCAACATGAAATTTGGCTTATTCAGGTAAAGGTGGGGAGGGAGGGCTTGCTATCCGGAAACTCTCATGGAAGCTACCGCCAGAACGGCGCACACCAGACACTGACTGCGTGCTCCAAGAGAGTTTGGCCCGACACCGAAACAATTATTGTTCAACCTTGTAGATCTTGCAAGAAGGAAATGGGTGGGGCCTTGCTGCTACACACTTGTCAGCTACCTGCAACGTCATGAGATGTGGAAGGAACATATCCCTGTGCACCCCGGTATATGCCTATAAACCCACTAAGCAGGCTCTGCTCCTCCTCCCTCATCTGTTCGCCCTCGACCTCCTCCTCATCTTCGATCGGGCGCGGAGCTTCCGCCAAATTCTTCCGCTCCTATTTGGGGTTCCAAAATTGGCGGTCTGTTTGGGGCGGTCCTTACAACGAGGGGTATACCTCTAAATGTTGAAAACCCTTTTTGTGTATATTGACGGTTCACAGGACCTCACAGAATTAAGGGTTCTCCAAAGCTGGATTTCTGGAGTCCACTTTGTAAGGGACATTATGTCTTGGAAGGATCCTATGTTGATGTGCCCTTCCCGGGGCCCAACTACATCAAACCTTTGATGTAGGAACCACATTGAATTGATGCTCTGCCGGGGTTGCCCAAGCTCCAAGAACATGGGCAATATAGGACCCAATAATGGAGAATCTGCCGAACAAGAAACTGAACATGGAATGGAGACTGGAACTGGTATGGTGGCGTGCAAGCTGTTTGTAATTCGTGATTAGCTCACTCTGAACCTTGCACCCCCCAGAGTTTAAAGATGGAAGCCCAACCGATGGCAACCCAAACGCTGGCTTAGCCAGTCGCAGCTGAATTGCGGGCTTCTGAAATTTCTGGGGTTTGAAAACCCCCATCCCGGGATCTTACAGCTTGTGCTTTACAGAGTGGCCTGAAATATTCTGACACCAAGTGTTGCTTGAGGTTACAGTGCGAGCTAGACTTGTAACATCAAGAGATACAAGCGCAACATCGAGCTCGCACAACAAAAGCACTGATGCTGTTGCTGCAGTTTGGCCACACATCACTCTTAGCATCCATCACAGGGATTGTCGAATGCCATGGCCAGAATAGACACTAGACCTAAATCCCTTACCTTGAGCCATGCCAGCTCAAACCCAAAGCCCTCCCCCTAGAAGTGATCCCCCGCCCTCACATCATACATAAGTATAGGCGGAGCTGATGAACGCGGTGAGTGTATGCATACGCACAGAAATGCGAACTCCTCCAACCGCTTTTTTCGCGAACAAAAAACTTGAGCCCCCACACCCACTGAAGCCGGAATCATCCATAACCTCAAAACCTGAAGCCTCATAGCCCCACCCTGTAACAGTCTATAGTAGGGATCATACTCAGGGCTATATATACGTATATATGTATACAACTATATGATGGATATCATCCAACTGTTACAGAATGTGGGCAGTACCCAACTCATAGCTTGCTGGCCGTTAGTACTGATGGGAAGGATAGATCCCTCTTGCAGCACCTAGACAATCTCTTAGGTGGACCCCCCACCCTCTAATAGAGGATATAAGGGGTAATGGTGATCATCGTAGGGCCCTCTTATATTCTCTTTATACCAGTAACACAGGGTAGAGGGGTGCTCCTAAACAATCTCCAACAATGTATAGTTTCCATCATCGTTTCGATTCCTTCGCTCGGTGCTGATAAAAGGCAAATAAACCCGAAACATCCCATGACATCCCTATGAACCTCTAGTTCCAATTGCACTGTTCCTTTGTTTTTCTTTGGTATTTCCATCATTCCTCCATGTATACACAGATAGATAGATGGATAGATAGATAGATCCCTATGTAACTCCTGTATTTCCCCAGCTTCTGTATTTACTTGTCCCTCTGGTTTTCCATTCGCTGCGAAACTATCAGCCCCTGAGGCGGCAAAGGTGCCGGCTTCAGGAGGCTGTGAAAGGCATTGGGCTTCTCCTTAGCCCACATTACCATAGGGTTTAGGGTTTAGGGCTTCAAAAATATGAGGAATTCCATACACCAAAAATGTACAAAAGATCCCTAACATTGATCCAGTCTCCAGGAAGTTCAAGATCTGAAGTGCTGTCTCTGGCTCCTTCTGCAGCCTTGACTGGCTTGGAGTTTACGGCCACAAGGCTTCGCACGTGTGCGCTTTTGGGTGCTTCATGTATGGTTTTATAGGCCATGAGGTCTCGGTCTTTAACGCTTGCTTAAGCTAGACCCCAGCAGTCATAGGATCCTGACCCTTCCAAAGCCCGATGCCCTGAGCCATGAATGGGTTTGGGCTCTCAGAACTTCGCGGTTCAGGGTTGGGGTTTAGACTCCTCCCCCTTTGACAACCTGCTGCTTCTGGTAACCCCCTGGAACCTAGTGCCAGGGTGCAGGACTACCTCCAGATAGAGGAAGCAGATCTTGATGGCTAAGAAATCGTCAATTGGCTCGATGTTCCTTTGATGCAGTGTGATAATGATAGTATTTACGGATACTCATAGCTCTAGCAATAGTAACAGGTGTGTAAGTGCGCATGTACCTGCGGGTTGTTTATTCGTGTGGAATGGAAGCGTCAATCCCCATAGCTGCAGCTGTATAATCTTCACTTTTAATTACATCCATTTTCTTTTCCATTATTTCATTCCCTACCAGCGACAAACATGAGGTTTACCCTCAGCAGCTGCAAAGTGGCGTTGCTCACAGTGCCGGGTGCCTGTATGCGGGGTTTTGTAAGGGCGCCTGCAGTAAACTGGACCCCGCGTGCCAGCAAGATTCTCGTAGAGCTCCTCCAGAATCTGCCGCGCCTGACTAGACATCGCTGGAGACCCACAAGCGGGGCTTCATGCTTAGGATATCACAGTAACATGTTGGAGATCACAACACGGCCTATATTCAAGGGCTCCGGGCTAGGCATGATTCGTTGTGGATTCCCCTGCTACAACCCTACCCCCATACTACCATTCCTAGATTCCCCCTACAACTGGACAGCTTCCCGGGTGCCATGAGCCCCCTGAGTGGAACGTCTACCTAGGCAAAAGCATTTGCCCCTTATGCGACCCTGAACCCTTAGCTCTGAAGCATGGGGATACCCAAAATGCCCAGAATCCCCAGCTCAAGGCCCAAACCAGAAGGATAGCCAGCAACCCCAGATCTAGTTGGAGAAATGACAATAATCGGAATTAAGGTTCTAGGGTTGGTTTAGGTTTTAGTTTTAGGGTTGGTTTAGAGTTTAGGGCTGGTTTAGCGTTTAGGGTTGAATAGGAATCTGAGTGTAGGCCCTGCTGAGCATATTCCCAGTAACAGCTAGAATTGGGGGCTAGCTCGTGACAATTTGTCCCGGTTCAGGGGTTAGGCATAATCTTCACGAAAGGCCCCAAGATTGGGTCCCTGCAACAGGTCAATTTGTAACGAGCTATGTTGCAGGGGCATCATTGCACCGAAGCCCTACGTCCAAGACCCAGAAACCTACTTGAAGGTTTGTGGGACTTAGCAACTACATCTTATAGCCCTACTTATAACCCCCCAAAATGGCGTTCTAGGGCTTACCCAAATTATAAGCAGGGTTCCATCCCCACTCCTAAGTAGTTACCAATAGTTATGACTACGTCCCCTTCAAGTCGAGCTTAGAGCTTAGGGACCCTTCCCTACCCAAAGGCTCTTGGAACGTCACAATGCGGTCCCGAACGTTAGCCTCCTACTAAGCCCGAGCCTTCCGCAAGAAAGCGCCAAACAGCCCTAGAAGCCTTAGCGTGACTTTGTTTAGCAGGGAATGAAATCATGGATCCTCATAGTACCCATCATTATATCCCACAATGTTGAAATGGAATACTTCGAACTTTCTATCCCATTCCCTTCTTACCTGCTAACCAGAGGTAAGTATGGTAAGCCTTGGGTCCTGCCCCCCCCCTATAGGGGCCATATCAAGAGCTCTATATAACTATATTCTAAAGATCATCCAACTGTTAGTGAGTGGGGGTAGTACCCAAGCTAAGCCCTCATTCCTACCTGTGCGTAGTGTCGAAGCTGAACACACAGCAGGGCTTGGTTATACCGCAGGACATAGAGATCATCGTCTTCGCGAATGCCATCCTTCAGGTTCAAAAGGGATCTCTATCCATGAATAGATAGTTCATTATAGGATATTCTAGTATGTTTCAGAAAATTATGGTATATTCTAGCATACAATAGTATAGCATGGTATGGTATTATGGTCTATTGTGGTATATTGTGCCTCACGCACGCGGATGTCCAGCCCTGTCAGGTTATCTACCCACCCATGTATAGTATGCTCAGAACCTAGAGGGCCTCATTTTCCATTTTCGCTTGCGGTCACTACTAATTCAATGGGATGCAAGGGGGCTCAAGGTAAGCCTGCCCCCAAAAACGACAGTACGACTCAAACTTCATGATCGGCACCACATGCCAAAAATCGAGAACACAGCTTTGTCCAAAAATGCGAAATCTGACCATACGCTCTGAAGGACGGCGCTCTTTATTTTGGGATCCCGTAGTGAAAAATTCAAATACTTGAAAGCATCCCTGAACTTCTTAACTATGTCTGCTACCTCTTTCCCTTAAGTGTTTCGACAAGCGTGGTCAACGTGTTGTAAATCCATGACCAGGAAGCCCTACCCGTAACCCAATTACCTACAGTAGCAATAACTCAAAAAAACCTAATGTATAGAGAAATCCTTCAAGCTTCAGGTACTTGGGGTTGCAGGTGCACCCAATACCGGTCCTCATCCTCCTCTTCCTTCTTTCGCTTTCCCTTATCCTTCTTCTCCTTCTCCCTGGCCCGTTCGTATGCCTGGGTCAGGAGAGTCAGGAGGTTGTGCGGGTCTGTGCAGCCGCTTTGAAAGTAGCGGTTGATGAGATTGTTGTGGGTCACCTTCACGTCTGCGGCCGTCTTGAGATTTGAGATCTGCTCCAAATATTCTCCACAAGTCTCGTACTCGCCCTTGGCATACGCCTCGAACGCGTCTCCCGCTGTGTTGATAGCGGACATGGCTACTCCGACAGGTCTTCTACTCCAATGTTTAGGGCTGTGAGGTACTGTGCTGGCTAACTGCAAGACTGACGTTGCGCTTAGCTTCTCCGTTTTTGCACCTGTCCGAGCAAGAAGCACGTGGCCGACTGACACGTGTGAAGCACAACAGCACGGATCTTGGAGCACATTGAAGGTTATGTCTACGGGCCAGAAAGTAGTCCGTACAGTAAGGATTACGGTATATCAGGATCTTTTTTGGGAGCTCCTTTCTTTGAAGCTCGCATGAGAGCTTTTGTGAGCCTTCGCTTGTCATCAACAGCTCGCCAGCTTATCAAACCTCAAGCTTAACTGTCCTGCCTGACCGCATTTAATGGGAATTCCAACTATCACGGCTCTCCGAAGAGCTTCACACTCATTCCCGCAATCCCTACTAAGCACCAGGTAGTTGGATGCAGAGCCCTGCGGGTTTCAGACGTCTTCATGACCGTCTGAGTGCGGACTTCCGTCTCGGGCCGCCTGGAATCCAGAGTTTACGCAGAGGGTCAGGGGGGTCGCTTGAGCAGGTTGAATTACTAGGTGAATTCAGGTGCATTTAGTCAGATCCTAGCGTTTGGTAGGGAATGCGGGGATGGATACAGCAATGAAAAATGACGTCCACCCCTAAGAATCCAGAGGACAAGTGTTCACGATGTATTTCTTCAAATAGCTGCCGGCTGAGCTCTCCAAAGAGGCATCGTAGTGTTTTCGCTGTCTCTTTGAATTTGTTCCTCTTCTTTCCCCTCTCCTGGTTGGCTCTCTTCTGGTTTGAAAGCCTTGTGACTATATACATCTTCAACCAGCCACTCTCACAAAATGCCGGAAGATACGGATCAGGGCTTAGGGTTTGGGTTTTAGGGCTTCTTCGCACTGGCTGCATCAGCCGGTGCTGAGAGAAGAACCGGCAGGTCAGAATTGTTCTTATCAATCGGCGCCATCAGGAATCCAGGAACCCTAAAACATACGAATGCTGTAATTGGTGCTGGGGCGTTGCATGGTGGCTTCACTGCAGCAAATCTGCGCAGCTTGCCTAATACTTTTAATAGTAAAGCACTCCAACGCACTGCCAAGAATACAGCAGAATACCATGGCAAGATAGCTGCGAGGAAGAACACAACCCAAAACCCCCAAACATATTGGGCTGCCAAGAAACTAAGGCTTTTTTTGGTACTCTATAGGAGTCCGCGGAATGGAATGCAGCAATGTACCGGTATAACGGCGACCGAAGGAAACTGGAAAAGGCGTAAAGCTGTTATCGATGTCTCGAAATGGTCCCTGTAAAGAGCCCCAATACATACCCAAGGATCCCCTTATAATCTCGTTTTATCCCTGGGTCCTACAGAGAGGGTCCCCAAATCTAGGAAACACCCACTTCCGAAACCTAGACGCATGCTGCCAGACAGGCCCTTGGAGCTCCTAACCCTTCCTTGCGTGCCTCGAAAAGCCAGGAAAGGAACAACTTGGCAGCTTCTCCAAGTAGCAGTCTCCATCATACAGCAAAATGGCAGGCACCATAATTTCGGGGCAACTTCCTTCAAACCTCCGCACAAGCCCTAGAAGCCATTACTGATCTCCACGTCAGCCCCGACGAATTCCGCAGAACTGGATACCTGGATGCTGCCCCTGCTCTGAACAACTAGAAAGGTTACAACCGTTGAGGACCTTTAAAGGGTGGGGGCAGTATCCACCACGAAACCTAACCCTAAACCGCCAGCCCTACGCCCTACACGACACCTAAAACGCATAGCCAAGGCTGCGGCCCAGCTATCCTGCAGACGCAGTAGGGGTCGGACCTTTTGACAGATCAGAGCTGCTGCTGCTCGGTATAACTCCATGGTGCTTAGTCGGGAATGGGCCCTTGGCTATTTCTAGGGGCAATCCTAGGGGCTTTTATGGAGACTATTCAGAAATGCATTCCGTAAGTTTTTACTTAGCACCAAGTACCGGTAAGTGCCGTAGATCCTGAGAAATCCAAGAATTCAAGGACCCGTACCCTCGCAGGATTTCCTCCATCAACACTAGCTTCTCGGAGTTCTTACAGTAAGGGCTTTGGGAATTTTGTGAAATGTGAGCTACAAGAGGAGTTTTCAAGATTACCCAAGGGTTATGGCGTCCCTGGTCAGCATTTTATACGGATGAGAACCTTCAGCGGTGCCATTGCATGGGAACATTCACACGCACTGAGGAAGATCTTTGTACTTTAAAAATAACAAATTGTAGGGTCACATTCTGGCATGACCATGCTCGCGTTAGAGGCGTGGTCCCTGTTCTGAATGTAAATGGCCACTTTCGATACGACAGTCAGCATTTCGCATCTTGGCAAAATGAGGGAAAGCTACCACTGTCAAAGTGTAGAAGGTCCTCCTTCTTCCACATTCTATAGTATTTGAGGTGGAAAGGGGCCCGAAACAGCTCTGCTAGGCTGCCCTACATGAAGCCAAATCAAATGTGGGGCAGGGCGGCGGCTAACCATCAACTGATATAATTCCAAAATCTGTAACCCGCAGCCCTAAGCCTTGAATTGCAAGCCCTAAATCCTAAACTGAAGGGTTTTTACGTTTCTCCCCTAGATGTACGCATGGGTTTGGAAGGATCCTTTTGACGAGGCCCGAGGTTCCACAAATGGGTCCCATGTGAGGGCGTTGCGAGGCGAATGTTGAGGGGAGCCTTTTATTGCCATGTCCTGAAAGTGTGTGTGTGTGTGTGTGTGTCCAAAAGAGGTAGGTACTGGGAAACCTCACAAAGCTTTAGGGAATCCCAGGGGTCTACCCC